CTCCTATCTTCCCTCTTTTGTTTTATATCGAATCAAATCCCATGAATCATAAGGATAATAATAATAATAATAATAAGACCCAACTCTTTTTTACGTTCTCATTTATTTTATATCGAATCGAATCCCATAAATCATAGGGATAATAAGATGATCCAACACCCTCCTACCTTCCCTCTTTTGTTTCATATCGAATCGAATCGCATTGAAGTCTATATCATTTACCTTATAAAAACTAATGGCGTTGATGATGTATATAGTTTTAATATCTGACACCGGGACGAGGGGCGAATCACTGCCTGAATGAACATTATATAAAAACAGGTTATGAAGAAGTGCTTATATTATATCCCGCTCATATAAAATGGACTTGATTTTGTTGATACTTAAGAGTGTCTTGAAGCGTAAAAGTAGCTTACTGTATATAGTTGTAGGTAATTGTGACCATATTCAGTAGGTGTGGCCAGGTTCGGTAGGTGTGGCCAGGTTCAGTAGGTGTGGCCAGGTTCAGTAGGTGTAGCTAGGCTTAGTCGGTGTAGCCAGGATCAGTAAGTGTGGCCAGCTTCAGTAGGTGTGGCCAGGATCAGTAGTAGGTGTAGCCAGGATCAGTAAGTGTGGCCAGCTTCAGTAGGTGTGGCCAGGATCAGTAAGTGTGGCCAGCTTCGGTAGGTGTGGCCAGCTTCGGTAGGTGTGGTCAGGATCAGTAGGTGTTGCCAGCTTCAGTAGGTGTTGCCAGCCTCAACAAGTGTGGCCAGGCTCAGTAGGTGTGGCCAGGATCAGTAGGTGTGGCCAGGATAAGTAAGTGTAGTCAGGTTCAGTAAGTGTGGCCAGTTGATGGTCTCTCATGCGTAAATCAAACGAAAATTCTTTGTGAAATAAAATTTGAATATGAAAGAAAATTACGAAGACTTGGAGGAGGAGGAGGAGGAGGAGGAGGAGGAGGAGGAGGAGGAGGAGGAGGAGGGAGGAGGAGGAGGAGGAAGGCAGAAGAGGAGAAGGATGACCCGGGCAGTGGAGTAGGAGGAGGAGAGGACAGAGGAGGAAGATGGGGGCAGAGGAGGAAGGGGCAGAGGAGGAGGGGGCAGATGACATAACCCATAGAGGACGAATGTTTAACGTAGTTGAGTGACCCTGAGGGATAATCGCTTGGTGGAGTAGTGACTTAGTATCCAGCGAAACAAGTAACATAGGGGTTGGCCTTGGTGAGGAGTGCTGCCCTGGAGTGATGGTCAGCAGTGTGTTAGATGTCAGGGCACACGGAGGGATAACAGCTCAATCACCCTAACCTAACCTAACCTAACCTAACCTAACCTAAACTCCTGAGTTACCTCCTTCATCGTCAGTATCTTGTTCATATCAGCAAGAGTCACAATAGAGATATATAAGACACCAGTTAAAGAAGAGTCAGGTGAGGTCCAGGTGAGGTGACATACACAGGTACGAGGCAGAACACAGGTCAATATATAAACAACACTATACCCATTGAGTACTAGACCGTGACATATGATTACTTTGACCTCCAGGACTCGCTTCAGCTCGCCCACACCGTCAATTTAATCCAGATTACACTGTACAGGTTTTACTTGTTTTCGTGAGGAATGAGAAAGATGCTCAATGATTGCTGGAGAAAGGTGACCACTCTAGTAAAATGGTCGCTGAAGCAAGATGGTCGCTGGGTTCAACTGTTTCTTCAAGCAAGGTGGTCACTGTGTCAAGGCAAACGTTAAAGTAAGGTGGTCACTGGAGTATGGTAGTAAGATGTTTTTAATTACCACTCCCATCACCACCATCCACCCCCCTATCACCACCATCCACCCCTCCTATCACCACCAACCCTCCCATCACCACCACCACCCCCCTATCACCACCATCCAACCCTCCCATCACCACCACCACCCCTATCACCACCATCCACCCCTCCTATCACCACCAACCCTCCCATCACCACCACCACCCTCCTATCACCACCATATCACCACCATCCACCCTCCTATCACCACCAACCCTCCCATCACCCCACCACCCCCTATCACCACCATCCACCCCCTCACCACCATCATCACCACCAACCCTCCCATCACCACCACCAACCCTCCCATCACCACCACCAACCCTCCCATCACCACCATCAATCTGTCAGCACTACGAGGTTGCCAACACGACCCAGGGGAAAGGGACAACAATCCTTTCATTATTTTTAGCACCCGTCACCCTCAGCCACGCCCTCACTACATCATAATCCCCTACAGGAGGTCAGTCAGCGGCGGGAGAAAGGGTCACAATCGGTTGGCCAAAATATCAAAGCAGAGAAGAATGACCGAGTGAAGGTCAGTGACGTAACATACTTCGGTCATGTTGTTCTGAAGAAACGATTCATTCTAAAGGTTGTATAATATTCTGCACGCGCCAATACTTAGAAATTGTATACATAAATATATCTGTTTCAAGAGATTATATCACGGATTTAAATTATTTCAAGAGAGTGGGTATTTTTTTGCGGGGGGCGGGGGAGGGTGGATCTTTGTGTCTTTGTATATATAGAGACTTAAACAAGAATAAATATTGGTGTTGAGGTCTATATTGACTTAAATGTTTGTACAAGTTCAATTCACTCACACATAACCACTCGCATATCTATACACACAAAAACCACAACACACCCGCAACACATCCCCCCCCCCTCCCCACACTCGCCCCCACATCCACATACCCCCACTACACATATACTAACCCACACTCCCACCCACCCCTACACCCCACATTCAGGTACCAGCTATGATCCATAACAAAATCAGAGGTTCCCACACTCTCTCTCTCTGTCCTAAGATGAGACGTAAAAAACCCGTAGACTTGTGTCGGATACTGAAGGTTGGGCCGTGTGTGTACAGATAGAGGTTAGGTTAGGTTAGGTCAGGTTAGGTTAGGTTAGGTCCAGCTCACAAAGTTGAAGGGTTCCACAGGTAGCTCCGGCCTCGTGTTGGTTTTTACGGGAACAAAAGGCCACAAGTAGCCAAGGTCACCGATCACTGTTAACACGGTCGAATAATGTGGTCCGCTAATGGTTCCCTGGGCAGGTATGATTGAGAGGTCCACCTGTACTGCTGTGTGTGTGTGTGTGTGTGTTAGTTGTTCAGGTGTCTGTTTACTCTCTGTCTCTCAATTTGTCACTATCTTTTTCTCTTTCTACTGTATCTCTCTCTCTCTATCACTTCTTTCTCTCTCTCTCTCCTACAATCACCTCGTTTTGCCAGAGTATCAACACACACACACACACACACACACACACACACACACACACACACTTGACTTACTCCCTCAAAACCCTCCTCCTCGAGTGAGTGGTACAAGGTTCAGATCACTCCCTAGGGCACGATACTATGCCCCTGTGTGTACTCTAAGTCCTTCTCGCGTTTTGACTTGATTTCATTCCTGAGTAAAATTTTCCTTCTGTTCCCTGTGTAGAGAAGTATCCTCGAATATAGGAAATAAAGTAACGGCTAAAAAGTAACAGGAACTAAGTAACAGAAGTAGAGTATCAGTAAACAGATGGTTTCGTCCAAACTACCTAATTACCTCTTTGTACGGCCTAACCTAACCTAAACTATCATAACCTATCCTAAACCAGCCTAACCAAACTAAACCTAGCCAAACCTAACCTACTAACCTGCCCCCAACCCAACCCAACCTTCAGAAGTTAATGACCCGACTATTACTTCAGCAGTATATGAAGACCTTCCTCCCCGCCTCCAGAAGCTGTCAACACCTCCAGAAACCTGCTCACCACCTTCAGGATGACATACCTACTGTACTTTGATAATATAATAATGTGTATTTCGTCAATAAACTCCTTGTATGTATATTTTTATTCATATTTTATTTCAAGTATATGCTGCTACCTTTTTTCAGTAAATTTATACTACCATTGATACTTTTTTCCTAGTAAAATTTGTTACTTTTTTCCGTTCCTTTTTTCCGTTAGTTTCTTTCCGATCACCAGTATTTCCACCCCTGCAGCTATTATTAAACGAGTAATATTCACTCCACCCGACTATTATTAAGCAAGAGAGTCAATATCCCTCACTGGAATATAACCTCAATATATCGGATTTCATGATACATTATAACATGATTTTGTTATTTAATGTAATCGGGATTTTGTAATATAGGATTTTCTGGTGTCATTATAGGATTTGGCGATTTTAGTCATAGGATTTTTGTTGACGTAATAATGGAAATTTACAACTTAATAACACATTTTTTGTTACGTATTTTCATAAGAGTTTGCTAGACAGAATATAAAGATTTTGCCATGTAGTCTCATATAATTTATTTACGAGGCTTTTTCCCCAGCGTGTAAAAAAAAAGTTAGGAGAGAATGAGAGTTTCCAGAGAAGTATGGGGGGAGGGTGAGACGAGGAGAGAGAAGGGGAAGAGGGAGAAGAGGAGCAGAAAGAAATAGTAGAAGGAGAGGGAGAGAAGCGAGGAAAAGGAGAAAGAGAGAGAGAGGGGGGGGGGGGGGGAGGGAGCGGGAACAGGGAGACATGGGAGAAAAATAAGCAGAAGAGGGAGAGAGATGAGAAAAACTGGAGGAGAAAAAGGAAGAAGAAGTAGGATAAGGAGAAGCAATAGAACAAGGAAGAGAAAGAGTTAAAAGAAACGAAGGAGACATTAAATACCAAATTATTAACCACGTTTCAATTCAGTTACTGTTACCACATTATTCCTATTATTGTTATTACTAGTAGTAGTCGCCGTAGTCAAAGTAGTAGTCCGAGTCCATTAACACTAACGATTAAATTACGCTATAGACACACGTACAACACAACAGGTGATTCATCATCCTGTGGTGAATAGTACAGAAGCCTTCATTAAGCGGCCGAGCCAATGACCACCATAAAAGTCTCTAGAGGTGAGAGTAACCCGCTCCCTCGGCATGAAAGGACCAACGTCAAGGTAACTCGGAGCATAAAGAACCATCGGTGGTCATCCCATAGTTAGCCTCGGGCGACCCATCACAGGGCGCGTATATAAGGCGGCTGGACAGCTCCACCCTCACACTCACCAACACAACCTACACCATGAAGCTCGTGAGTAAACAACTTTCTAGTACTGACTGCCTCTGAATCTACCACTTTATATCTCTACAGAAATTATAATTATTTTCACTGTATATTTAACATCTATTATATTCCAGGCTGTGATCCTCGCTGTGGTTGCTGTGGCACTGGCCGACAAGCTGGCCCCCGTCCCCCTGCCTGCCGCCATCCTCCACAGCCAACAGGTCAACCCCGACGAGTTCGGTGCCCACAGCTCCGACTTTGAGGCAGAGAACGGCATCAAGTTCCAGTTTGCTGGCAACGAGGGTGTTGGTGGCGGTTCCAACATGGCCGGCTCCTGGAGGTGAGTTAGCGAGGCTCTGTGTCATTTGTGTTTGTAATAATACTATACGTATTTGTGTTTAAACATTGGTCTTGTGCATCACCTCATCTAACATCAAACATTGTGTCAGCTACCTCAAGGAGGACGGCAGTGTAGCGACAGTCCAGTTCGTGGCTGACGAGAACGGTTTCCAGCCCCAGTCCGACCTGCTGCCCGTGGCCCCCGCCTTCCCCCACCCCATCCCCCAGTTCGTCCTCGACCAGATCGCCTTCGCTGCTGAGGAAGATAAGCTCAAGGCTCAAGAGGAATAAGTCTAAGAAATAGACTCTGAGTCTCAAGTCTTTGTAAATATTTTCGGTCACCGACAACGATTTTATTATTTATCTATCTATTAAACTTTACGTAAATATGTTTTAAAAATAAAATATTAATAACACTGGATGTTTCATAAAGTCCTTCTAAGCGAGCGCCAATGTTTCGCTAATTCTTGTAGTGATAATAATCCACAAGTCTGGAACTACATCTCCAATAAATACTTCACCTTCTGTTAACATCACAGAACACATCAGTTGTAACCCTCGCCATAATACTGTAAACTGAACCCAACAAGTCACTTCAAGATACTGTCATACAGCTGCCACAATAGTGTTCAATTCTGTTCAACCAATAACAGGTACAGCAGTCTCGGTATTTAATGAACTTTGTGATTGGTAAAAGGAATAATGAATTATTTATCGTCTTGTGAGTTACTGAACGATGATGACAGTGTTCAGATGACCTTAACATGACGGTAGTTAATGAGGTACTTGACGGTGAACACAACCAAGAACCACCATAACTAACAGTGACCACAACCACCATAACTAACAGTGACCACAACCACCATAACTAACAGTGACCACAACCACCATAACTAACAGTGACCACAACCACCATAACTAACAGTGACCACAACCACCATAACTAACAGTGACCACAACCACCATAACTAACAGTGAACACAACCACCATAACTGTGACCACAACCACCATAACTAACAGTGACCAAAACCACCATAACTAACAGTGAACACAACCACCATAACTAACAGTGAACACAGCCACCATAACTAACAGTGAACACAACCACCATAACTAACAGTGAACACAACCACCATAACTAACAGTGAACACAACCACCATAACTAACAGTGAATACAACCACCATAACTAACAGTGAACACAACCATCATAACTAACAGTGAACTCAACCACCATAACAATAACAAATACTACAATACGCGTGTATTAAGGGACTCTAACCAAGACCCATTAACTCGTGTAAATAAAATCAGGTAACAAAGAGGATTGTCTTTGTTATTGTATTTCTCCTGACTGTTATCATTAACAACAAGGAACATTTGTATGGTGAATCCTTAGTGTGGTAAGTGGATACAGGTGAGGGTGTATGTGTCTGTCTGTATCATGAGGCTGACACATATACATGGTTGGGTGTGATGTGGATACTAAATCATGTGTTACTGTCAATGTCAGTACCTGTATCAGTACCTGTATCAGTGTCAGTACCTGTATCAGTGTCAGAACCTGTATCAGTGTCAGAACCTGTATCAGTGTCAGAACCTGTATCAGTGTCAGTACCTGTATCAGTGTCAGTACCTGTATCAGTGTCAGAACCTGTATCAGTGTCAGAACCTGTATCAGTGTCAGAACCTGTATCAGTGTCAGAACCTGTATCAGTGTCAGTGTATCAGTGTCAGAACCTGTATCAGTGTCAGAACCTGTATCAGTGTCAGTACCTGTATCAGTGTCAGTACCTGTATCAGTGTCAGTACCTGTATCAGTACCTGCATCAGTGTCAGAACCTGTATCAGTGTCAGAACCAGCATCAGTGTCAGTACCTGTATCAATGTCAGAACCTGTATCAGTGTCAGAACCTGTATCAGTGTCAGAACCTGTATCAGTGTCAGAACCTGTATCAATGTCAGAACCTGTATCAGTGTCAGAACCTGTATCAGTGTCAGAACCTGTATCAGTGTCAGAACCTGTATCAGTGTCAGAACCTGTATCAGTGTCAGTACCTGTATCAGTGTCAGTACCTGTATCAGTGTCAGTACCTGTATCAGTGTCAGAACCTGTATCAGTGTCAGAACCTGTATCAGTGTCAGTACCTGTATCAGTGTCAGAACCTGTATCGTATCAGTGTCAGAACCTGTATCAGTGTCAGAACCTGTATCAATGTCAGAACCTGTATCAGTGTCAGAACCTGTATCAGTGTCAGAACCTGTATCAGTGTCAGAACCTGTATCAGTGTCAGTACCTGTATCAGTGTCAGAACCTGTATCAGTGTATCAGTGTCAGACCTGTATCAGTGTCAGAACCTGTATCAGTGTCAGTACCTGTATCAGTGTCAGTACCTGTATCAGTGTCAGTACCTGTATCAGTGTCAGAACCTGTATCAGTGTCAGAACCTGTATCAGTGTCAGTACCTGTATCAGTGTCAGTACCTGTATCAGTGTCAGAACCTGTATCAGTGTCAGAACCTGTATCAGTGTCAGTACCTGTATCAGTGTCAGTACCTGTATCAGTGTCAGTACCTGTATCAGTGTCAGAACCTGTATCAGTGCATCAGTCAGAACCTGTATCAGTGTCAGAACCTGTATCAGTGTCAGAACCTGTATCAGTGTCAGTACCTGTATCAGTGTCAGTGTATCAGTGTCAGTACCTGTATCAGTGTCAGTACCTGTATCAGTGTCAGTACCTGTATCAGTGTCAGTACCTGTATCAGTGTCAGTACCTGTATCAGTGTCAGTACCTGTATCAGTGTCAGTACCTGTATCAGTGTCAGTACCTGTATCAGTGTCAGTACCTGTATCAGTGTCAGTACCTGTATCAGTGTCAGTACCTGTATCAGTGTCAGTACCTGTATCAGTGTCAGTACCTGTATCAGTGTCAGTACCTGTATCAGTGTCAGTACCTGTATCAGTGTCAGTACCTGTATCAGTGTCAGTACCTGTGTCAGTTCCTCAACATTAGCTCACCTGAACTAATGGTCCAGACTCTTCACTCACACTCCTTTACCTTTCACATTCTTCTCTCTCAGTTCATTAAAGGTAATTCCTCTTAATATAAATCACCATCAGTACCAGACACCGACCCTCCAGTGTACAGATGAACGAGGAGTCCCTAACCTAGACCACGGTGTGAGTTAAGGATCACCACACTAGGTCACATATTACCATTAACGTGGCAGTGAGATGCGGCAACTAAACAACGAAATAATTTAGTATAAAAAGTATAGCTGTAACTTATAATAGAGAGTTATTAATCACACCAATACCAACAGCAGAACTCTTTCAGTGTGGGAATAGACTTTGAGAATTATATCATAAATCATTGTCAGTAAACGGTAAAGAAGTTTAAACAAGGGCGACTACCCCCAGCTGGCCTTGAGACAGTTGTGCCCGGGGTGAATGTGGGTCAACGCTGCCAGCTGTTTAAAACAATAACAACAAAAGGAACCAGCTGACCACCTGTCACTGGGATAAAAAGCATTGGTGACCTCGGTAAGGTGGTCGTTAGCGGGTATATAAAGCTGTGTATCACTGGCTGGGTCACAGACGAACTACTCAACACCATCATGAAGGTTGTAAGTCACCTGCACCTCTGCTCTTATTATTATTTTGTCCAGGAGAGTCAAACAGTTTCCCTGCACAGGGTAAATTAAAATATTTTACTCTACTTGTAATTTTCTGACTTTCTTTACATAATGAAAAAAAAGTTAAAACAAATTTAGTGCTTCTAAGTGGATCTTGTGACGCTCAAGGGGATACTGAAGGGCTGAGACTTGACCTTTAAATATTCATAGAGGAGAGGCAGCAGCTTCTTCAACCCGTGAGAGTATTAGGCCCCTAGTGCGAGTATTAGTGGGACTAGTGATCGTAGAAAACACAACAATACGATGTGGTACAATAACTTGGGAACTTTAAGAGTTGTCTTAAAAACGAAGGATTATATTCCTTTATTCTTTTAATCATTTGTTTTATACAGATTGTGATCCTCGCCCTGGTTGCTGTAGCTGTGGCCGACAAGCTGGCCCCCGTCCCCCTGCCCGTCGCCATCCTCCGCAGCCAACAGGTCAACCCCGACGAGTTCGGTGCCCACAGCTCCGACTTTGAGGCAGAGAACGGCATCAAGTTCCAGTTTGCTGGCAACGAGGGTGTTGGTGGCGGTTCCAACATGGCCGGCTCCTGGAGGTGAGTTAGCGAGGCTCTGTGTCATTTGTGTTTGTAATAATAATACTATACGTATTTGTGTTTAAACATTGGTCTTGTGCATCAGCTCATCTAACATCAAACATTGTGTCAGCTACCTCAAGGAGGACGGCAGTGTAGCGACAGTCCAGTTCGTGGCTGACGAGAACGGTTTCCAGCCCCAGTCCGACCTGCTGCCCGTGGCCCCCGCCTTCCCCCACCCCATCCCCCAGTTCGTCCTCGACCAGATCGCCTTCGCTGCTGAGGAAGATAAGCTCAAGGCTCAAAAGGAATAAGTCTAAGAAATAGACTATGAGTCTCAAGTCTTTGTAAATATTTTCGGTCAGCGACAACGATTTCATTAATTATCTATCTATTAAACTTTACGTAAATATGTTATAAAAATAAAATATTAATAACACTGGATGTTTCATAAGGTCCTTCTAAGCGAGCGCCAATGTTTCGCTAATTCTTGTCTTGATAATAATCCACAAGTCTGGAACTACATCTCCAATAAATACTTCACCTCCTGTTAACATCACAGAACACATCAGTTGTAACCCTCGCCATAATACTGTAAACTGAACCCAACAAGTCACTTCAAGATACTGTCATACAGCTGCCACAATAGTGTTCAATACTGTTCAACCAATAACAGGTGCAGCAGTCTCGGTATTTAATGAACTTTGTGATTGGTAAAAGGAATAATGAAATATTTATCGTCTTGTGAGTTACTGAACGATGATGAGAGTGTTCAGATGACCTTAACATGACGATAGTTAATGAGGTACTTGACGGTGAACACAACCAAGAACCACCATAACTAACAGTGACCACAACCACCATAAATAACAGTGACCACAACCACCATAACTAACAGTGAACACAACCACCATAACTAACAGTGACCACAACCACCATAACTAACAGTGAACACAACCACCATAACTAACAGTGAACACAACCACCATAACTAACAGTGAACACAACCACCATAACTAACAGTGAACACAACCACCATAACTAACAGTGACCACAACCACCATAACTAACAGTGAACACAACCACCATAACTAACAGTGAACACAACCACCATAACAATAACAAATACTACAATACGCGTGTGTTAAGGGACTCTAACCAAGACCCATTAACTCATGCAAATAAAATCAGGTAACAAAGAGGATTGTCATTGTTATTCTATTTCTCCTGACTGTTATCATTAACAACAAGGAACATTTGTATGGTGAATCCTTAGTGTGGTAAGTGGATACAGGTGAGGGTGTATGTGTCTGTCTGTATCATGAGGCTGACACATATACATGGTTGGGTGTGATGTGGATACTAAATCATGTGTTACTGTCAATGTCAGTACCTGTATCAGTACCTGTATCAGTGTCAGTACCTGTATCAGTGTCAGAACCTGTATCAGTGTCAGAACCTGTATCCGTGTCAGAACCTGTATCAGTGTCAGAACCTGTATCAGTGTCAGTACCTGTATCAGTGTCAGTACCTGTATCAGTGTCAGAACCTGTATCAGTGTCAGAACCTGTATCAGTGTCAGTACCTGTATCAGTGTCAGTACCTGTATCAGTGTCAGAACCTGTATCAGTGTCAGTACCTGTATCAGTGTCAGTACCTGTATCAGTGTCTGCATCAGTGTCAGGTACCTGTATCAGTGTCAGAACCTGTATCACCAGCATCAGTGTCAGTACCTGTATCAGTGTCAGTCAGTGTATCAGTGTCAGCTGTATCAGTGTCAATACCTGATCAGTGTCAGTACCCGTATCAATGTCAGTACCTGTATCAGTGTCAGCTGCATCAGTGTCAGAACCTGCATCAGTGTCAGTGTCAGTGTATCAGTGTCAGAATCTGTATCAGTGTCAGAACCTGTATCAGTGTCAGAACCTGTATCAGTGTCAGAACCTGTATCAGTGTCAGAACCTGTATCAGTGTCAGAACCTGTATCAGTGTCAGAACCTGTATCAGTGTCAGAACCTGTATCAGTGTCAGTACCTGTATCAGTGTCAGAACCTGTATCAGTGTCAGAACCTGTATCAATGTCAGAACCTGTATCAATGTCAGTACCTGTATCAGTGTCAGTACCTGTATCAGTGTCAGAACCTGTATCAGTGTCAGAACCTGTATCAGTGTCAGAACCTGTATCAGTGTCAGAACCTGTATCCAGTGTCCAGAGACACTGTATCAGTGTGTCAGAACCTGTATCAGTGTCAGAACCTGTATCAATGTCAGAACCTGTATCAGTGTCAGGGCTTCTTATCCAGTGTCAGAACCTGTATCAGTGTCAGAACCTGTATCAGTGTCAGAACCTGTATCAGTGTCAGTACCTGTATCAGTGTCAGAACCTGTATCAGTGTCAGAACCTGTATCAATGTCAGAACCTGTATCAGTGTCAGAACCTGTATCAGTGTCAGAACCTGTATCAGTGTCAGTACCTGTATCAGTGTCAGTAGCTGTATCAGTGTCAGAACCTGTATCAGTGTCAGTACCTGTATCAGTGTCAGTACCTGTATCAGTGTCAGTACCTGTATCAGTGTCAGTACCTGTATCAGTGTCAGTACCTGTATCAGTGTCAGAACCTGTATCAGTGTCGGTACTGTCCAGTATCGAGTACCTTTATCGGTGTCAGCACCTGTATCAGTGTCGGTACCTGTATCGGTGTCAGAACCTGTATCAGTGTCAGTACCTGTATCGAGTGTCAGTACCTTAATATCAGTGTCAGTACCTGTATCAGTGTCGGTACCTGTATCAGTGTCGGGAACCTGTATCAGTGTCAGAACCTGTATCAGTGTCAGTACCTGTATCAGTGTCGAGTACCTGTATCAGTGTCAGTACCTGTATCAGTGTCAGAAGAACCTGTATCGGTGTCAGAACCTGTATCAATGTCAGAACCTGTATCGGTGTCAGTCCTGTATCGGTGTCGTACCTGTCAGTGTCAGTACCTGTATCAGTGTCAGAACCTGTATCAGTGTCAGTACCTGTATCAGTGTCAGAACCTGTATCAGTGTCAGAACCTGTATCAGTATCAGTACCTGTATCAGTGTCAGAACCTGTATCAGTGTCAGTACCTGAATCAGTGTCAGTACCTGTATCAGTGTCAGAACCTGTATCAGTGTCAGAACCTGTATCAGTGTCAGTACCTGTATCAGTGTCAGTACCTGTATCAGTGTCAGTACCTGTATCAGTGTCGGGCCTGTATCAGTGTCAGAACCTGTATCAGTGTCAGTGCCTGTATGTCAGTGTCAGAACCTGTATCAGTGTCAGTACATGTATCAGTGTCAGAACCTGTATCAGTGTCAGAACCTGTATCAGTGTCAGAACCTGTATCAGTGTCAGTACCTGTATCAGTGTCAGTACCTGTATCAGTGTCAGTACCTGTATCAGTGTCAGAACCTGTATCAGTGTCAGAACCTGTATCAGTGTCAGAACCTGTATCAGTGTCAGTACCTGTATCAGTGTCAGAACCTGTATCAGTGTCAGAACCTGTATCAGTGTCAGTACCTGTATCAGTGTCAGTACCTGTATCAGTGTCAGTACCTGTATCAGTGTCAGTACCTGTATCAGTGTCAGAACCTGTATCAGTGTCAGTACCTGTATCAGTGTCAGAACCTGTATCAGTGTCAGTGCCTGTATCAGTGTCTGATACCTGTATCAGTATGAACCTGTATCAGTGTCGGTACCTGTATCAGTGTGTCAGAACCTGTGTCAGTGTCAGAACCTGTCAGTGTCAGAACCTGTATCAGTGTCAGTACCTGTATCCAGTGTCAGTACCTGTATCAGTGTCAGTACTGCTTATCAATGTCGATACCTGTATCAGTGAAAGTACCTGTATCAATGTCAGTACCTGTATCAGTGTCCGTACCTGTATCAGTGTCAGAACCTGTATCAGTGTCAGTACCTGTATCAGTGTCAGTACCTGTGTCAGTGTCAGTACCTGTATCAGTGTCAGTACCTGTATCAGTGTCAGTACCTGTATCAGTGTCAGTACCTGTATCAGTGTCAGTACCTGTATCAGTGTCAGTACCTGTATCAGTGTCAGTACCTGTATCAGTGTCAGTACCTGTGTCAGTTCCTCAACATTAGCTCACCTGAACTAATGGTCCAGACTCTTCACTCACACTCCTTTACCTTTCACATTCTTCTCTCTCAGTTCATTAAAGGTAATTCCTCTTAATATAAATCACCATCAGTACCAGACACCGACCCTCCAGTGTACAGATGAACGAGGAGTCCCTAACCTAGACCACGGTGTGAGTTAAGGATCACCACACTAGGTCACATATTACCATTAACGTGGCAGTGAGATGCGGCAACTAAACAACGAAATAATTTAGTATAAAAAGTTTAGCTGTAATTTATAATAGAGAGTTATTAATCACACCAATACCAACAACAGAACTATTTCAGTGCGGGAATAGACTTTGAGAATTATATCATAAATCATTGTCAGTAAACGGTAAAGAAGTTTAAACAAGGGCGACTACCCGCAGCTGGCCTTGAGACAGTTGTGCCCGGGGTGAATGTGGGTCAACGCTGCCAGCTGTTTAAAACAATAACAACAAAAGGAACCAGCTGACCACCTGTCACTGGGATAAAAAGCATTGGTGACCTCGGTAAGGTGGTCGTTAGCGGGTATATAAAGCTGTGTATCACTGGCTGGGTCACAGACGAACTACTCAACACCATCATGAAGGTTGTAAGTCACCTGCACCTCTGCTCTTATTATTATTTTGTCCAGGAGAGTCAAACAGTTTCCCTGCACAGAGTAAATTAAAATATTTTACTCTACTTGTAATTTTCTGACTTTCTTTACATAATGAAAAAAAGGTTAAAACAAATTTAGTGCTTCTAAGTGGATCTTGTGACGCTCAAGGGGATACTGAAGGGCTGAGACTTGACCTTTAAATATTCATAGAGGAGAGGCAGCAGCTTCTTCAACCCGTTCAAGTATTAGGCCCCTGGTGCGAGTATTAGTGGGACTAGTGATCGTAGAAAACACAACAATACGATGTGGTACAATAACTTGGGAACTTTAAGAGTTGTCTTAAAAACGAAGGATTATATTCCTTTATTCTTTTAATCATTTGTTTTATACAGATTGTGATCCTCGCCCTGGTTGCTGTGGCTGTGGCCGACAAGCTGGCCCCCGTCCCCCTGCCCGTCGCCATCCTCCGCAGCCAACAGGTCAACCCCGACGAGTTAGGTGCCCACAGCTCCGACTTTGAGGCAGAGAACGGCATCAAGTTCCAGTTTGCTGGCAACGAGGGTGTTGGTGGCGGTTCCAACATGGCCGGCTCCTGGAGGTGAGTTAGCGAGGCTCTGTGTCATTTGTGTTTGTAATAATAATACTATACGTATTTGTGTTTAAACATTGGTCTTGTGCATCAGCTCATCAAACATTGTGTCAGCTACCTCAAGGAGGACGGCAGTGTAGCGACAGTCCAGTTCGTGGCTGACGAGAACGGTTTCCAGCCCCAGTCCGACCTGCTGCCCGTGGCCCCCGCCTTCCCCCACCCCATCCCCCAGTTCGTCCTAGACCAAATCGCCTTCGCTAAGGCTGAGAAGACTGATGCAGAATAAGTCTAAAAAAATAGCCTTACCGACAATGTTGTTGATATATATATATTTACTAATCTATAAGTGAAAATGTAATTTAAAAATAAACTTTCAGTAAAACTAAAAAATTTTCATAAAATCCAAGGAAAGAAATGACAAGTTTGTGGTCGTGATGCGTCATTTTAAAACAAACACCAAAGAGGTGTGACTTCTATTAATGTCTCATCACATTTTGTAACGGACTTCTATAATATGATAAGTTGTAAGTTTGTGAAAATGGATTCCTTATACCAGACGGCCTATTTGGCAGTGGTTACAGCACACCGTAAACATAACGTCTTTAGGGTACACAATGAGGCAAGTGTAGCTGGCACTGCACTCGACTGTTGTCACTATCCCAACAGTAAACTTTGGTACACACTCACAGCTGGGTGAACTGTGGGTGCCCCAGGCGCTAACCAGCGACCCCTAGAATAAGAGGTGAGACCTGCAGCCACTTAGCCTTAGTAATGTTACCAGATTTAGTTAAACAACAATAATTACTCGAGTGATGTCATACATCTGACACAACGAAACGTTCACCTTTTCTAAGCATAGGTCTACATAACCGATGAAGCCACAGCAAGAGAAGCTTCGATACTATATTTGTTTAAATAATGAAGAAAATTTGATGTGAGAATATTGTGGCAGCTGTGGTTGTAATTGAGTTGCAAATTCATTAATATAATTTTCTTCATTATTTAAGCAAATAAACGAACATTTGGAAACTTCCCATGACCTTAAATAACAATGAATAGTTTATTATTATAAAAATTCTACCTTTGGCTTGTTTAGTAATTATCCTGACAATGATACAGCCAAAAACAGATCCACCATTCACCTTTACATACAGTCTTCCTTTACCAAGTACTGTATTGCCAGGTAAAATTGCGAGCGCGAGACCCAGGGTGGGGTCAGTGCATCTTTGGCTGACTGCACACAGGTAAATCAATGTAAACAATGTTCACCTGCACTTGCTGGGATACGATATGTAATAATGGCATAAAGAAATTCAAATTCCGGACATGGATCACATTAATGATATACACAAGTCACTATCTAGAAAATTACTGGATAGAAAAAAATTCCCGCGTGACTTTACACAGCAAACATAATCCCGAGCTTCACTACGGCAGGAAACGGCGACTTATTCAGTTAGCGGAGACGCAAGACTCACAAAAAAAAAATATGATAACTGATATATAGTCCTGACTTGGACATACCTGAATTGTGATGTATTATGGTGTGTTACGGTCCCTCGAGGAACTGTTAACTTTCACATACCTGGAAAAAAAATCGGATTAGCCTTCCATCCCGCTTTACTCCTATAAAAATTTCCGTAAAGGTTAAGGAGAGTCGCCACTTGTTACGCATTATATATTGGCAGGATCTCAAGGATGTGTTTGTTTTAAAGTAAAAATGGATTAAATAATGACTATGAACCTACAGTAATACCTTTACAAATGTTCGTACAAAACCAACAACAGTTTGTGGGACTGACAGAAACCAACCAAATAACTTGATGCGGAAGATCACTCACTTTGGTTTAGTTGGTACATGTGGTCTGTCACCAGTGGTTCAGACCTTCAGCCTTCCTGAGGGAGTTTTAATGACAAAATCATAAAGTTTTGAAGGAAAACTACATATATTTCACATTCCTACATTGCCTCTCTATCTCCTATTAGATAAGCATCTATGTATTACAATAAAGGTGTCCGAAGATTCTATCCCCACAAAAAAAGTGGCAACCTCTCCTTAACCTTTACTAACACTTGTTCTCTTTAACTAACAGGAACAACCATGACACTGTATAAACACTGTACCAACATTGTTTTTAATAAACACCAAAAGTTAATATAGGTTATTGTCCATGGTGTCATAATAAGAGCAGCAGATGTAGTACTAACCTTGCTGTGGTGATAGAGGAAGACTTGACGTCACCCATCATGCCTTGGGCCAGGGATCATCCTGCCTGAAACAACATTCATGAATGAGGTCACAGTTCTGCTATCATTTCTCTAATTATATACAAATTTATTTATATTGAATCCAAAATCCTACAAACAGTAATACAACAGATGCTACCATCCCTCAACAAGGATCAATACAGCTCCCCCGTATAACTTGACACAGCAACGCACAAGTCACAATGGTCGGAAATCAAAGAGTAAATTCACTGACAAACCCACACTGACAATTTTCCGATGTTGGAATTTTTATCCGTTTAATTAGGAAGACTTATCTACGACAGTCTCTCTAAAACGAGCGGTGGCAAATATTCATGTCCTTTTACCCTTCATAGTCCTGCCCACTGTCAGGTATAAGTTACCATTCTAGGTTATAAAGCTTTACTATAGTGTGAGCCCTTTGTTATTTAATATTAATTAAAAGTTTCACATGTAAATTACCAATTTTCTGACTAGTTGTTGTATTTGTTGAAGTTTGTTTTCGGTGTTCAGATGAGTAGGGATATCCATGAACTCGAAAGAGATTAACCTTTTCATAGGTTAGGTTAGGTTTTTAAAAGTTTGTTTGCATTATTTTAATGTTTTACCCCACATTTTCTCTCTACTCCAAGGCGCTGCCCACTTTGAGTAACCAATATTGTTGGAAATTGGGAGGTCTTATCGTTTAAAACACTCGAAAAAATATAAATTTGCACAGGGATAGAAGAAAATCGATTCCTAACTACAAAAGAATCCTAGTGATAATGGCTAAATAATCCGTAATACCAATTGGGATAAAAACGAATATTAACTCAAAATAAGAAATATCTTAACCTCCCATGTAATTTAAATAGGTAAGATGAAACAGGTAAGGTGACAAAGTAAATATATGGGAGCGAGGGATTAGTTTCACAAAGGTTACAGTGAAAATTATTCATATATTAAATTTTTTTTTTAAGGGGATTAGCCCAATCGGGCACGGGTCAATGACCCACATCAGGGCCTGGGGGCGAAAATATATTGATGATAATAATAATAATAATAATAATGATAATAATAATAATAATAATAATAATAATAATAATAATAATACTTACTGCGTCATTCCTAAATAAAATACCTAAACAGTATATAGAACTATTTTACCTAATATACAGCAACATCTACAGACCTTTCTTATGTTTTCACTCCCAGCGGCTGAACCGAGACGCCATATTGTTTTATTTCCCATTTAACTAAAACAATATGTCTATGTATTCCACCAAGTAAGTCCATATAAAATGTAATTCATGTATTTTCGTTGACTGATAAGTCAGTTCCGGCCGACAGCAAGACCCTGACCCACCGGGTAGCCTACTGTATACTCGTATCCTCACATTTAACACATTAACCTCAACAAATACAAGCTGTGTTGACCACCACTTACCTACCTGTTGATTTATTATATTCCCTCACCATCGACGACACTTTTTAACACTTCACTACGACAATTCTTTACATGACAACAGCGGAGACTAAAGTTCGGAACTGTTCGTCGTGGTTCATGAGTCTGAACTGATTAATGAGCCGCCACAACAAATGACTCGCGTTACTCTGGGAAGACTTCGATTGCATCTCTCTCTTCGAATTTACAATGTACCTGATTCGCTGCTCTTAATCCCATGTATTTTTTTAACATAAAAACTTTTACTCTTCCAATTATAAAGACTATAATACAAATAAGCTCCAGTCAGCATCAGGCGATAGTAAGAAAACCTGGAATGTCATAAATTCTATTCAGAACAGGAACACTCAGCCTTCGGCCCCCTACTCAGCTTTTATGATAAACGATTCAGTTATAACGGAACCCTCCCTCCTTGCCAACCAATAAACAGACAGTAAAATGAACTATTCTTATCCCCTGTCACAGCAGATGAATTACTGGCCATCATAAAAATGTTCAAAGATGCAGCAACAGGCGAAGACAATATACCAATGAACATCACTAAAAAAGTGGCCCACTTGTTACTACCTGTTCTCCTCCACATTTGTAACTCCTCCTTCACTAGTGGTGTCTTTCCTGATAAACTGAAAATTGCTAAAGTCCACCCGGCATATAAAAAATCTGGGGACAAAGGTCTCTTCAAGAACTACCGCCCCATATCAGTCCTCCCAGCCTTGAGTAAGATACTGGTAAAGCTAGCATGTAATAGACTAAATTCCTTCTGCAATGCCAATAACATCTTTACAGACTCCCAGTTTGGATTTAGAGCTAGAAGGTCGACTGAGAGTGCTCTGATATCCTTTACTAATGACATCTTAAATTCCTTTGATGACAGTCAGTTCACAGTCGGTATATTCTTGGACCTCTCTAAAGCCTTCGATACTGTCGACCATACCATCCTCCTTTCAAAGCTTGAACATTACGGCGTTAGGGGCCTGTCCCACAATTGGTTTACCTCATATCTGTCCAACAGGATGCAGTATGTCTGTTATAATAACCACCAATCTGACTCCTCGCCTATCTTGTATGGAGTCCCCCAAGGTTCAATTCTCGGTCCAGTACTGTTTTTGTTGTACATAAACGACATAGTCCACGCCAGCCCACTCATAAAATACAACTTATTTGAAGACGATAGTAATCTCTATGCCAGCAACTCAGACCTCCATTCCTTGATGAGAACTATGAACACTGAATTAACTAAAGTCGGGACCTGGGTAATACGTAATAAACTGACCCTAAATCTTGAGAAAACCCACTACACGATCTTTCACAGAGGAAAAAACTTACCTCCAGACTTGAACCCCCTGTACCTTGGTAATACAGTCCTCAAATGCGAACAAAATGCTAAATTCCTCGGAGTTATTGTTGATGAGAAACTTAACTGGAGAAACCACATACAAGCCATACACAGTAAAATCAATAAACAGTGCGGTATCATGTATCACACTCGACAGTCACTCACTCTCACAGCAATGAAAGAAATCTGTCATGATCTTGTTTACCAACACCTGATACACTGTCACACACTATGGGGGGCCTCTGGCTCTTCCAAAACACAATCTCTGGTTACTGCACAAAAGAGAGTTGTACGGACAATGACCTACTTGAAAAAAACAGATCACACAAACGAAAAATTTGGTATATTGAAATTTTTAAAAT